TCACATGTTGATCATCTACTCTCTAGTGCACTTATGTCAGCACTGTGGAGAAATGCCCGACAGACCACTGGAACATTATCTAATACAGTGCAGAGTTACAAGCCCATTAAGATTTCAACTTCAATTCAACAGAGCAGGAGAAGTTGTTAAACACGTGGGACAAAATCTTACTGAAGCGACCATAGGAATCATAAATACTCATACTCTGCCCAAGTAAAACAGAAACAAGCAACACTTAGTGGGCCAGCCAGAGGTTTAGGGCCCATGCAGGAATATACCATAAAAAAAAAAAAAAAAAGTGCACTGCAGTCACAGCCAAATGTAACTCTTACTGTTAAATGACACAAAGTTGTTACTACAACTGCAAGAACATTATTCGCTGAATAACAAGAATCGTTCAAACAACTAATGTCAAACCAAATGATAGTACACTTGAGACATTAGTGCTAAATAGAGTTGAATATGTTAATTGGTGCATTCAAAGCTGAAGATACTGACCTTTAGAATGCACAGAGAGATGTTATTGCCAAAATCCATTTAATAAATATCTAAATTATTAAGGCCATTTAATTATTTGAAGTGCAGACTATAAAGAATTCAAACTTTACATCTGGAAAATATTACAGGAGACTGATTTCAAATCTGAAAACTGCAGTAATTTCTTAAGAGATAATTCTACAAATATTAAGGACCTAAGGCTGTTCAATACCCTTTCTCTAAATATAAGAGGCATTACCAGACGACCTCCTCTAGCGAACTTGTTAAATGCCTCCAAAGGATACCTGGTCAACCAGGTTGTGATTCCCACATCTAATTGTATGCAGTGGCTTCCACCAGCCTGATTGACCAGATCATTAACCAGGAGAATATCATAGGTCCAGGCAACAGGGACAGTGATCTTCAGAACCATCAAGGTATTTTAAGCACTTATCCATCCATGTACTTCAAGGCAAATAAAAAATTGACAAATGAAGCATAAATTGGCCCTACTGTGCCCCTTGATATGGTCCTCTGATGCACAGCAAGTTTTTTTCCTTAATGAAGTTCTTCAGAATTTGTTAATGTAATTTGTAAGATAAATGTGGCACTCTCACTTATCCCACACTCCATTATATACCATTATTTCACATCAAATTCCATTAGATTTATACTATGGCATGTGCCTATAGTGTCAATGTCCCCCTTAATCTTTTATACTTCCCAGTAGCTTGACTTTAACTGCAAACATGCTTATATACCTCTGTATCGATGAAAACAGACCATTTACAGTATATATATACAATGAACATAATTGGTATTAGTACAGAGCCATGCAAGACCCTCCTAGTGACATTCCTCCAGTCTGATTAATTGCCACTAATGATGGTCTCATCTTTCTACCAACTGAATGCTAGAAGTTTCCTTCCTACCTGTCTTACTTAAATGTTCAAAATTCCAGAACAATCGCTCATGTGGGGACTTTATTGAATGCCTTTCATAATTCCAGATAGATGCAATTTGCCCAATAGTCTTTCTTGTAAAATCTTTATGAATGAAAAATGTAACTAAATTCAATACAACAAATGTTCTTCCCTTTTTAAACAAAATAGCTACTCATTAAAAAATTGTTTTTATGTATTCAACCTATTTTATTTTGACCTGTATTACCCTTTCTGGTGATTAGGCTACACACTGCTCAATGCTACAGATTTATGAATCATTTCTAACCCTTTTTTTAATAGTTTGAGATAATGATTGCCATTTTCAAAATTCTGGTAGTATTCATATTTTCAAAGATGCCTGAAAAAAAATCCTTGTTGGATTGCTGAAATCATAAGCACATCTCAGGCCTGAGGTTAAAACTCCACATGGCCCTAATGTTCTATTTCTGCCTAAATCGACGAGTAGTTTTAGCATATCGTCTCGCAACACATCTAGGTACAGTATTCTACATTATGCTCTAAAACCTGTCTTGTGTCTGGGGCTGTGAACTTGTCACCTTCGTTGAAACTGGTCATTCAATGTTTTACACATTTCCTCCTGTCACTAGAATCTGTTGCCTACTCCAAATCTCTAGATTTTATCTTTTATATGCAATTTACTAGTAATAAACTTATTTGCCTGCTATCCGTTTCTTGAAGTTTCTATCCTACTCCCTCCTCTCAAGACCTTGTAGTGGCTCGGAGCATGTTTTGCATTTCTGATATTTTTGCATGGTTGGTCTATTCTAATATTTATCCAATTTTGTTTACTCTACCATAACAGCTGTTGAAGAATTCCCTCCCCCCCCCCCTGTTTTAATTATCTCCTCTATTTTAGTATACAAATTTTGGTGCCTGTCTCATTTACATTCACTCCCATCAAACCTTCCCAAACAAATCCAGTAAAACAATCTCAATTCTTTGTAACGTCCTCTTTTAAAACCAAGCTTCTCTCTCATACCTTCCCATCTGCAGTCTCTTCTATGTCATAATGAACAGCATACAGTACTTAATTACCAAACAGGACAGGATTGCCTTTACCTATGGGGCCAGGTACTCTCAAGAGCCAAGATTTGTGCCTTTCTGGGGAATATGTGAGCCACCAACCACTGATGAGACATTACCTTCCTCTCTCTTGTTGTTTACTTTTAATACAAATGACCAGAATGATATTAAACAATTTGGACAGCTCATACTTTCATTGTTCCTGTCATAACCCTCCCAATATGTAGATTTTTAGATTAATTCATCCAGTATCAAATATATGGTTTTATCTTAAACTTTCTGTATTACCTTCCTTATCATCATGATAATCTCCTCTCATTTCTCATCAAGTTCTTCTCTTATCCAAAATATTACTGTATTCCATTTGGATTCAAACTTCTACTGTATTATTATAATGTTCATGCGTTATGGATCATCAAGTATCAATTCTCTCAAACTAAAATGGTCCTTTACTAAGACTAGCACTCCTTTTTTGTTCTTGGTATTACATCTCCAAATTGGACAGCCCTTGCAAATACTAACTCATAATTCTCCTCTCCAGTTTCATTTTCAATATTGCAATGACATCTAGTCTTTTGTTATTTATTACAGTGGCATTTTTACCTAACCACGTCTACATTTGTATATTGTATACATATACTGCACTTACATTACTTGTTTCCTCTTGTTATGGAATATTTTTCACCTGTCTACTGATTCATTTGATTGTTGGGTAGTGTGTGTGTATTCACCTAGTTGTTCTTGCGGGGGTTGAGCTCTGCTCTTTTGGCCCGCCTCTCAACTGTCAATCAATCAACTGTAACTACTAATTCCCCCCCCCACCACAATTTTTTTTTGTGTATGTGTGCACGTGCATGTGTATTTACTATTTGTGTCTGCAGAATCAAGCTATTAGCTCTTGGACCCCGCCATTTTAATCAATCTAATTTTCCTTTATTGTACATACAGTACTGCATATATTTCTCTCTAACACACAACACACACACCCCAGGAAGCAGCCCATAGCAGCTGTCAAACTCCCAGGTACCTATTTATTGCTAGGTGAACAGGACATCAGGGTGAAAGAAAATCTGCCCATTTGTTTCCACCTCAGCCAGGAATCAAACTTGGGCCCTTAGAACTATGCCTCCTAAGCGTTGTACACTCAGCCGAGAGGCTGTGTGTGCGTGTGTGTGTGTGTGTGTGTGAGAATGTGAGTACACATGAATACTCACCTAGTTGAATTTGTGAGGGATGAACTTCAGGTCTTTTGTCCAACTTCTTAATCTTCAATTGCCAGGGGAACAGCAATGCTTCTTGTAAATTTTAATGCTCTCAATCTGGCTATATTAGAACTTACATCCCAGTCTTGAAAATTAGACGCCTACTATTTAATAATTTCATACTGTACATCCTTCCTTTCTTACAAAAGCAGGGTGACCCATATGCAATCAACAATGCAACAATTAACGACCACTACAAAAACAAGTGTCAAAACCCAAATATTGTACCAAGTTTTGAACCATTCAGCAAAGAATATTGCACATTAAGTATGGCTATGACAATTTCATGTTCTCAACACTTACAATAGTACTGCATGTGACAATAAATACTACAAAAGGAATATGAAAGAAATGAATGTATAAAGCAAAGAGAGAGTGAGTCTGTCTACGAGACAGACTACCGGGCCAAAATGTCGTGCGGTGGTGGCCCAGAAATAATAAATAATAGAGAATAATCTCTTTCTTAGTTTCCACCAACAATAGTGCTTATATGGGTGACCAAAACCAAAATGTTCAAATTTTTAATATACATATACATATAATTAAATCAATAGGAACAATAGAGGACTTGGGAAAAATGTGAATGCATGAAATGATTAAATTTAGTTTTTAGACCAATCACTTTAAATTTTAATACAATTTCCCAAAAGGGAAGCATATATGAGTTCCCCAATTATATTATACTTCCGTTCAAAAATAATTCTGTAATGAATTATCTGCTGCCAATGAAAATAATATAATTATGTTACCACCAATGCAACCTGTCAACCCAAAATTGATAGTAACTAGAGTCACTAGGGATGGAAGTGCAAAACAGATTATTTTTGGGTGGAACAGAGAGAGCCATGTTTTGTACAATTAACTTTGTACAAGAAAGCCTGAGAAAGACGGCAACAGCCAAACCTAACATTTTCTAGGCCTAGTATAGTATAGTACATACTAAATTATACCTATGATTGCATAGGTACAGCCTTGGATTGCTTATTTAGGCCTAGGGCAGGTTAGGTTTATGGTTGTCCTGTTTCACCTTTCTATGCCCTTTAGAATTCCAATAGTACAATAGTCCATATTTTTTAACATTCCAACCATAGTAGCTATAGGTTCATTCATTTTTGGAGGATGGGTTACACTATCAGAAGTGCAAATCATAATGACTGTACAGCACCCAATTACCACACAAATGATCATGAAAGGCAGTTTATTTATGAACTGCTGTGACATACACATTCACCTTTCTCGAGTCCTCCTCATGAAGATTTAAGTGTACACTCACCATTGCCTGGGTACTTCTAGACTCGTCAGAAGGCAAACCTTCGAGGGAGAACCCGGCCATAGACTCCCACGGAGCCAGCGAGTCCTGCAGGAAGAAACAAACAACTTTCTTATTTCAACCACGTTTAGCTGGTAATGGAAAACATTGATAAATGTAAAAACCATTGCATTTTTTTCACATTAAGAAGATTGAAAAATGTATCCTCAATCCAGCAAGTTCTGGGAGATTATTGACTGCAGGCTGGTGGAACATCTTTCACTGGGCTAATGTGACCCAGGTTATTGTAAAGAGCACAGTGTTGGTGCTCATTTTTGTGGTTGAGAAAACTGTTTTGTTGCTGGTTATGCATACTTTGTTGTGTCAACAAGCAACAGGGATCCATCTTGGCAGCCCAACCTCACTATTACTGTACCCAATACATTTATACCTTTTGACATTCGAGTACCCTGTCATGTTTCCCCACCTCTGGCTCAAACTCATTCTACTTATTTATCCCTCCCCATGCATAACTGTATTTCCTTACATTTTTCAGATTCATCAGTGTTTACAACTTCCACTTCTGTTGTCCCTCACCTGGATATTTTTTTAGGTAGTGATCATGTCTCCCCTAACTCGTGTCTTCCAGTGTCATGAAGTTTAGTTCCAGTAATCATTCCTCTCAGCTCGGGAACTAGCCTGGTGGCATACCTCTGAACCTTTTCTAACTTCATTTTATGTTTGACTACATGTGGACTCTAGGCTAGTCACATATTCCAGTATTGGTCTGACATATGAGGTATACTTGGTTCAGAATGATTTCTTACACAAGTTTCTGAAGACAGTTCTTATGTTTGCCATACATGCATATGCTGCTGATGTCATTCTCTGGTTGTGGGCTTCAGGGGGACAGGTCTGATGTGATATCAACCCCAGCTCTTTCTCTCTTCCTGACTCCTGAAGGATTTACTCTCGCAGCTGGTACCTTGTGTTTGGCCCTCCAGCTCCCCACGCCTATCTTCATCACTGTGCACTTGCTCGACTTTAACTCTAGTATCCATTTGTTGGACCATTCCTTCAGTCTGTCTAGGTTATCCTGTAACCTCTTGCTGTTCTTCTCTGTCTTACTCCTCCTCATAATTTTAGCATCATCAGTAAACATTGAGAAGAGTGAGTCTATACCTTCTGGAAGATCATTCAAGATCTTGTTTCATATCAGAAACAGGATGGGTTCGAGTACAGAACCCTGTGGGACTCCAATGGTGACATCATGCCATTCTGAGGTCTTACCCCTCACGGTAACTCTCTGCTTCCTGTTGTTTAGGTATACAGTACCCCCCCTATCCATTGGAGCACACTAATTGTGAGACACAACTTGTCTTCCCTGAACCCATGCTGGTGTGTATTATGCTGGGAAGAGATTCAGCTTACCTCAAGAGTGTCCGTCAGTTAGGAAGAGATTCAGGTATTCTTGAAAATATCTATGGCAAACACCACCATGGAATAGATGAGCACTGTTCATCTATGCTATTTGTATCTGATGCATCATCACTGAACGCAGAAAACGATTCATCTATGTATCATCTAAGTAAATTGTAGATAGCAAGGGTGACGCTCGGAGCTACAACTGTATAGTCCTCATAGGTGCTGTATCACTTGCATCCGACCTTTGTGTTCAGTCCTTATTGTGCCTAGCTTCACCAATATTATGACCCTTATGTTCTTCAAATAAGGTTTGAATTTCACCGACAGTGTTATCTTTCAACACCGCATCGGCCAGGTGTTTGGGAGCCAGAGACGCGTGCGCCACCCATGGTTGCTCATTCAGTACTAACCCAGCCAGCAGCCCTAGGGCATTCTGGGAATTTTTTTCCAAGATGGCGGCCTCTCACTGGAGGTCCTTAGAGTCCATTTTGTACACAACTAACCACATACACATTTAGAATTGGTACTGAAAAGTCAAAAAGAGTTTTCTCGGTTGGCACAGTTTCCCGCCAACCGAGAATACTCGGTTGGCGCAGTCAAGTGGTTAAGGAACATGACAAAGTTGCTGCCATAACTGCAAGAAAACTAACAGGTTGGATAACAAGAACCTTGCAAACAAGAGATGCCATACCAATGATAATACTTTTCTAAGATATTAGTGCTCTCAAGAGTGGAATATTGTTGCACATTAAGTCCCATTCATTCCCATCCAGTCCCATTCCCTATTTGGACTTTCATGTATTGTAACGTACTGTACACTGAAAGGAACAAGGCTGAGTGAAAGTGGTTTGCAAGAAAGAAATGTATTTGTACATAATGTAGATGATAATGCATGAGGAGCGCTGTACACCTTGTCTTATGAAACAGTAAGGTGCTGCTGTGGATAACTGCTGGAGTGTAATAGTGCCTCTTAACTTTCTAAATGGAACATGGTATAACAGTAATGTGTGTATATACTTTGTATGTACATAAAATGAATGGTGTGCATTTTCTGCATAGTAATTATGTTGCAATTATGGATTTAAACTACAATACTTAACTTACTGATTAGATGTAATCAAAGCCTTTATAGTCATTACCACAGACAAACTCAAAATATGAACTAATAAAATAAGGAACAAGAGTACCAACAAATGTATTTTCCCCTTTATATTTCCAAAAATGTCATTTAAGGACAAATAAATCTTGTTATACAGGAATGTAAGTAATCATCTGCAACAAAACAAGTAAAACTCCACTTACTCCTGGCATTCCTGAGGGTCCAGGTACTCCTTGCACCATGATATCTTGTAAAACATTTTGGGGATGGGAGGACATCATCTGAGGATTATATATGCCAACGCCACTGACTCCTCTCTCATCAACAGAATTTATAGGGTCATAACTTATGCTTGCCTCAGAGTCTGTGAGTTGTGTTATCTCATCCTCCTGTTCATGTTTAGGCTCAGGTACTTCTTCCTTAATAATTGTATGCTCTTCTAACACAACCTGTTAAAAAAAAATGGTAATTAAAGTCTGAGAGAGACTTGGAATTGATTCATTTATTTCCTAATTGTAATTTATTTCCTATTTTAAAATTTCAGACATCTGTAGCATGTAACAGAACTATTGAGACACTATAAATGTGTCAATAGTTAACAGATGCCCAAGCTTGTTCATGCATCTGGACATAGTGCAACATGCATGGGGGTTACACAATATACTCCGGGCAGTAAGAGTAAGCTGTCCTTGTAACTTACACCAGTGTCACCAAAACAAAGCATTGCAAAGGTTGGAGGATTTTGCCTCGACAAGAAAGTTGATAGGGCCCAGCATCACCAATGACTAATACTGGACTAACCGACTAGCATGGCAATGAAGCCCGAAATAGAAAGATAATGAGATGCACCAAGTTGATTCCTACGTTGCTAAGCTTCTAGAGCCCCCCCCCCCACCACTGATGAGTCAAATTAAGTCAGATGAGAGGAAGCACCTGAAAGTGATATTGTGATATTTGTGACCAACCAGGAACCTCAATCCAACCCTGAACCTTGGTTTAATAGCAACATCCAACCAACATCCTGAAGGTAAAGAACACAAGCCAATATGGATTAAGAACTACCTGGTGAACCACGAACTTGGTGATCATCAGAGGTTGACCAAAAAAATGTGGGTTACTCCCAAAAAATTGAAGATCATTCACTTGACAAGGTCCCTCTTCACTACTGGAAAGACAGAAATCTTAACCATTAAAAAATACATCAAGGGCAAATACCAAACTTTACCCCAAGTGCTCCTTGAAGCTACCGCCTCATTTAGAGTTCTCTCCTCTCGTTTTATATCAGTTGATGTGACTGTAACAGGAAGCCATATGGCTTCTCAACCAACAAAACTTGTGGGAGGACACAAGTACAGTGGTACCTCGGAATGCGATTGTCCCTGTATGCGAGGTTTTCGGAAGGCGAGGTGTATTTACTCCAAAAATTTGTCTCGGAAGGCGATGGTTACTTCGGGAGGCGAGTTTGGACGCGAGTTTGTTGATACGCGTACAGCCGACCTAGCGCGTGGTGGTTCGGCGATCGTCGCCCCTCCGCCCCTCAGTTTATTATTGTCTCGCGCTCAGTGACTACCCCCACATCAATTCTTCTCGCGGATTTTCAGTGTTTTGTTGGATTTTTGGTGATTTGTCTATACAATTTGTTATTATATATCTCACCATGGGTCCCAAGAAAGCCAGTGGTAAGGATAAAGGCCAGAAAGCTCATGTGAGGATGACAATAGAGGAGAAACAAGAGATCATTCGGAAGCATGAGAACGGTACACGTGTTGTTGAACTTTGTAGGCAGTACAACAAAGCCACATCAACAATATGCACTATACTTAAGAAGAAAAATAAGATTATGGGTGCTAAAGTGGCAAAAGGAGTAAGAACATTAACGGCACAAAGACCACAAATACTTGAAGAAGTGGAAAAGTTGTTATTAATTTGGATACACGACAAGGAGTTGAGGGGTGATAGTGTTTCGGAGGCCATTATTTGTGAGAAAGCCAGGGTGTTGCACGAAGACCTTCTAAAGAATACCCCTGCAACGAGTGATGCAGATAAGAAAGAGTTTAAGGCAAGCAGGGGCTGGTTTGAAAAATTTAGAAAGAGAAGTGGTATCCATAGTGTTACAAGGCATGGAGTTATGTGATGTGATTATGGAAGGGGACTCCCCTTCCAAACAGTAACTTCTCTCCTCCTCCCCCCTCCTCACCATCTTCCATACGCCTACAGCACTCGACAGCAAGGTAAGTAATAACTGGAACACAGTTTTGTAGGTTTATTTAGATGAATTAGGTAAATTAGGTATAAAAATTTAGTTTGATGTGGGGTTTTTGGGGTAGTCAGGAACGGATTAATTCATTTCCCTTTATTTCTTATGGGGAAATTAACTTCGGAATGCGAGTTTTCGGAAGGCGAGGCGTCTCCAGGAACGGATTAAACTCTTATTCTGAGGTATGCCTGTACCAAGTCCAGGACAGACCCCGAGACACAACCTATAATGCACACAAATTCTGACCAAGCAACAAAAATTAGGCAAGAAAGAGAAGGGTGGGCAGACTGCCTTTTCTTGGACTGTCAGAAAGCTTTCGACACAGTACCCCATAAAAGGCTGTTACGAAAGTTAAGAGCAACAGGCAGGAGTAAAAGGTAAGGTGCTCCAGTGGATAAGGGAGTATCTAAGCAACAGGAAACAGTGAGTAACTGTGAGGAGGGAGACATCAGAGTGGCAAGATGTCACCAACAGAGTCCCACAGGGCTCTGTACTTGGACCCATCCAAGTAGAGCCCTGTACTTGGATGAGCCACTAATCTGTTAACACAGTGAGGGCATGTGTATATGTCACATTAAAAGCATCCCTCTGGTAGCCAACCATCACATTCTCTGCTAGAAAAGAAAGAAAAGGCTTTAAACAATGAAATCACCCACTAGGGCCAAAAGAATAAAATCCCCTCTGCCTAAGGAGAGAATGAAGCTCCCCCCCCTAGACAACTGGAAGTGAGGGCCAACAAGAACAGTCTTGAGAAGTGTATCATGGTCCAAAGGGAGGACCGAGAACCATGTAGAGGAAAGAAAGACCAACACCTTAGCCAGACCAAGATGGCTCAGATGAAGGATAAAAGAACAAACAAGTCTACATGCAAAATGGCTCCGATAAAGTATCAATGCTGACTGCCAACAAAAGCAGCTCCACCAAGGCTGAATGATATAAAGTAATGGTATTAAGCGATAAGATGCAGATTGACAAATAACCAAGGCAAATCAAAATCACAGAACAGAAATACTGTAGGTGAAAAATGGAGGAGACAAAATGATGGAAGAAATGGCAAGAAATTTCATACTGTTGCCAAGACGAAAGACACAGGTGGTATACCAACAGCTGAGCCACATGTGCATTATACAAATGGTGAAAGACCTGCATCAAAATGTTCAGACGTGTAGATAAGAGGAGTGTCATACTAGCTGGGAACGTCTCTGGACCAATCAGCGGAAAGAAGCAGGGCCACAAAAAGCAGGACACTTCAGAAAATGGCACCAATGACCCACCTCGACCTACCGAAACACGAGCCCTGGCACAACCTTCCTAAGAAGATCTAGAACGACCCCCCATCCTTTCCCCAGAGCACCAACAAATCCGAAATGGGGCGGCAACTGGCCGACACTGCAAACAAAAACTGAGTCCTCCGGAAACAACAAAGGACAGAGTGGAGACGAGGAATGGAGAGCCAGGGCCCAAGCGGAATCAATAGAGCCAAAATGGCCTGCCGACACACGAGACGAGAGTTAAAAAACATAGGAACCCCTTCCCGGAGGATCGGCGCAAAAAGCTTCATCAAGTCAGCCGATGCCAAGGCAGCTGAAACCAGAACTCAAGCCTTAAGGCCCAGCACTCAACACCCCCCCTCCCATCCTCCGAAAGCCAATCCGAGGACAGCTCCAGCAGATTAAAGAAACGCAAGACTGAGGCCAAGTGACCACGAGCTCAATGGTCATCCGCCACCAAGGCAGCCAAAAGAGAGGGAACCTGAACATGTAATTGCAACAGACCCACCTCATGGAAAAGTGCAGGGGCAAAGAGGCACTCATTGAAGAATTCCATTGAGCTCCTCAAGATTACCTGCAACACCCAGGTAACCTCTCACCATTCAAGCGTGCGGGTATGACTAAGCAGCACACCCAGTATGAGGAAGAACAACCGAACTCAAAAGAAGCCAGATCCATCTGGCCAGATGCGGGCTCCCCATTCCCCCCTGTCGGGGGAGAAGGGAATAACGAGTGGGCGCTCTAGTTGGATGATGATTTGCTCATTTCATTTTTTTTTTTTTTTGGGGGGGGGGAAGTTCTTTGGCTCTGTAGGTTGCAATTTTAGTTGGTTGGAATTTTTACCAGTTTTGGGTTTGTATTGGTTCGCCTTTCTTTCTGGATGCTCTCCCCGATCGATGACAGACATGACATTCTAAATGTAGAATGCTCATAATGAGCAATGCTCCCTTCACCTCTGAGGGGGGCCAGATTTTGATTCGTGGTCCCCGGTAGGCAAGAGCTCCCATAACTGATGTCCTCAAACTAATATAGCACATACAAGTCTGGATAGCTTCAGGGAGCCGACGGGGCTCCACACAGAAAACTACACAGCAGTGAGGAGAGAAGCAAAAAGAAACTACAATGTAAGAAAGGGAGTTAAAGACAAATGTAAAATAAGCCAGGCCTTTACTATAAATTCATTAAATGCAAACTGCATGTAAAGGATAAAATACAGAGACTGAAAATGGGGAACAGATTCACATAGAATGAAAAGGAAATACTCTATGTGAAACACTAAATGAACAATTTTAAAGTGTTTGTGTAAAATGAGGTTTTCAGCGATCCAGACAATGCCAATTCCAGAGAACACTGTAGAGTACAGAGGTATCTAGAGACAGTGGAACATTTACTCAAGGAGCTAGGAAAAAATAAAGTAGTTGGACCAGATGGTGTTTCACCTTCGTTCTGATAGAATGTCCATGCACATGAACTGAGCATTCCACTTAATTGATATTTCAGACATCTTTAAGTACAGGAATCTTAGCAGATATTTGGAAAAAGGCAAACATAGTTCCAATCTACAAAAATGGTACCAGAGAAGATGCTCTAAATTATCATCGTATCATTGACAAGTGTGTAAATCAAAATACTAAAAACATACTAAAAATCAAATGGATAGAATACCTGGAGAGAAATGATATACTATATGGTTTTCAAACAGGAAAATCCTGTATAACTAATCTACTTAGTTTATATGATAGAGCCACAGAGATTTTACAAGCAAGAAATGGTTAGGTTGACTGGTTTATCTGGACCTAAAGAAGGTTTTTGATAGTTTCACACAAGAGGCTGTTTTGGACATTTGGAACATGCTGGAGGAGTGACAGGGAGACTGCTGACATGGATGAATTTTTTTATAACAGACAGAGATGAAAGCGAT